TAATAAATTGGTTATACCGGCTAAAGTTGGGACTAAGACCCCTGAATTCTGGAATATATAAAAAGTGAATATGGGCCCGTTCACCTATCATGTGAACCACTTATAGATGCATATATAAGATGGTTACATGTGTGTTCATTGTCAACCTGCAGTTTGGCATTTGAAATTGCTTTTCTCAACCAAGAGAAAAACTTTCAGATTATGAAATCAAGACAGTTCATCTTGATAATTCTGGTTTACATCTAAGCTGGTTTAGCATTGAATACCTCCTATTAATGGCTAAACCATTGCTTATGAGAACAAAGCTTCATGTGTTGGTCTAAGATTTTCTAAATTACATATAGCAGCACTTGTATGCATCAGACCAACAATATATGATAAGTCCTCCCCTCTCAATTGGTTTAGGATCAGAAACTAAATATTTTTACTATCTTTTGATGTGTGGTATATGATTAATTTCTCCATCACATTGCACAAATATATGTTTCCCAAAGAAGATTGGGAATATATGTTAGTTTTCTAATATTTGGGGGATGGAATAAACAGCTGAAAAATATGCTATATGAATCGAATTATCATTAATATGATCCTCACTTAGAAGATAATTCAAGTCAAATGCCAGAAGCATTTGTTGATCCAAAATCAAATATCATATTTCAGCTGCAAATACTCCTATTAAAAATTTAAAGTCCCTGAAGGATAGAGTTTACTGTACGCATGAAACGTGGTAGACCAATCGTTTCCATAGGTAACAATCCTTGAAAAATGATAAGGAGCTAATGATCAAATGATCATAATGAGGAGGAAATGAGCTCTAGAAGAGCCCACAACATAATATTTCATGAAACTCCAAAAGAAGGTCAGGTACCTGAATATAAAGAAAGTGATGAGATCTCAACAAGTTATGTCTCTTGTGAACCGATACAAAATAATCGTCGACGACATATTTGATACAATATAGTGCATAATATTGTAAAAGATTGTAAGGATCGGACCTGTAGTCCAGATACCTGAAGATGTCATGCCATTTAAATGTAAGTCATAACATATATGACTCATTTGATTAAATGATCCCTGAAGGATTTAAAATGCTTGAAGCATATAATTCAAAGTCTCAGAAAATGTACTCGATCAAATTATAAATATCGTTGTACGGTTTAAAGCAATCTGGGTGTCATTGGTATTATCGCCTCAGTGAATATTTGCTGAAAGAAAGTTACATATATAATGTTATTTGACCATGTATTCAGAATTTACTATACTTGCTGTTTATGTTGATGACATAAATCTTGTTGGAACTCCAGAAGAGCTCCAAAAGGTAATTGAATATCTTAAGAAAGAATTTGTGATGAAAGATCTTGGAAAGACAAAACTTTATCTTGGTCTGCAAATTGAACATTTAGCATACGGGATCTTTATCCATCAATCTGTCTATACAGCAACAGTGTTAAAACGCTTTTACATAGACAAGGCCCACCCATTGAGTACATCAATGGTTGTTCGATCACGTGAAGTGGATAAGGATTTGTTCCAACCTCCAGAAGAGGATGAGGAACTCCTTGGTCCCGAAGTACCCTATCTCAGTGCAATTGGTGTACTAATGTATCGTGCTAATGCTACAATGCCTGACATAGCATTTTTAATGAGGCAACTTGCAATGTATATTATTAGTGTACTCTTTTTTCTTGACTAGAATTTTTTTCCACGGGTTTTTCCTAGTAAGGTTTTAACGAGGCACATAATAATGAACATCCAAGGAGGAATATTTTGAAAATATTTTTGTGGATGTCCATTTATTACTCCGCTGTAGATAATCTTCCTGGAGAAGATTATCCATTTAGTACTCCATTGAAGTTTTCTACAAGCATGCAGCTGATGCAGGCAGGTTGCAAACAACTCAATGAAATGACTTGTAGCAGCTTCTTGGTTTGATGAGATTAATTTAAATCGATCTGAAATAGTGGTGGATAATATTCTCTACAAATTCAACTTTTGAGAAGATGGTATACAAGATTGGAATGTGGAGACTCGAATATTTGAAATAAGGTTTTCATCATGGGGAGTAAAATACGCGATGCACCCTTTTTTCCTTACTAAGGTTTTTTCCCACGGGGTTTTCCTTATAAGGTTTTTAATGAGGCACCTAGCAATGCGTATTAATAAATATGTGTACTCTTTTTCCTTCACTAGGATTTTTTCTCATGGGATTTTTCCTAGTAAGGTTTTAATGAGGCATATTATCTTTTAATGAACATCCAAGGGGGAGTTATAAATAAATATATATATATATATATATAGTACTCCGTTGTAAATAAGCTTCCTGAAGAAGCTTATCATTTCGGTACTCCGTTATGGATAAATATTACCCACGGCAGAAAATTATCTATATCTGGTATAGTAGCAGCTTACAAGCAACTTACAAGAAGCTTACACAGCAGCTTGCAGTAGCGGCTTACAAGCAACTTACACAGCAGCTTGCAGTAACAGCTTACACAACAACTTCCTTTCTTCTATAAATAGAGGAGATTTCAGTTCATTATGTACATGAATTTGAAGTTGAATAATAAATCTCTCTACTTGTCTTCGATTTCTTTACTTTAAAGTCTTTATTTTATAACAGTGAACAAATTTAGGAGCAAGCGAGAAACAGCTGCTGCGATACTGCAACCGTCTAGTATTTGTTCTGCCAAACACCTATTATCCCACTATAAAATTCTGTAAATTTCATCTCTTAAAAGTAATGCAAAACATTGACATTAAAATTACCTTTAAACTTGGGAGGTTTCTAATTGATCGGAAGCATCCCCCTAAACATTACGCAGTTTCAACTCTACATGATACTTCAAACCCTCCAAAGTTAAAGGGATCGAATACAGATTGAGCCTCAGCAAAATGCAGCGACGATACCAAGCTCATGCACAAAAAACCAAAATATGCATTTCACGAAACAAGTATAGCATATGACAGCAATTCAAATGAATTTGTTAGCTTGACACATATCACAGGAACAATTTCAAATCCAAACACCAATTAAATTTGGCTGTAGGATGCACAGTAATGTCATTTTCATCGTTCAAGCCGAACACACTTCCTGAGACGAATCTACACAGACAATCTCAGCACACACATTTTCAATTTCAATTATAGCTGCCATTCAGCAAGGGGTCTATACAAATCCCCAGTCCATTCAGCAAGGGGTCTACTCATTTCCAGCTTTCTTTTGATAATAGAATGACGCACCAAATCCTTCGAAAGATCACTTCTGATAGCCAGGAGGAGGATAACCAGCAGGTGGATAGGCAGGAGCTGGATAACCTTGTTGAGGAGGAGGTTGACCATAAGCTTGTTGAGGAGGTGGTTGACCATAAGCTTGCTGAGGAGGTGGTTGACCGTAAACTGCCCCATACACTGGAGGAGGATATCCAACAGTTGGTGGGTAAGGCTGATCTAGCCGTGACATGTGCTGCACCGGTGGCACTGCCATTGGTTGAGGACCAAACTTGCCATCTCTCTTGTCCATTTCAACCTTATGTTGTGTCTGCAATGCTCATCAACCACAGTAACCTCAGATGTAAACTATTAACTAGGGAACAATTAGCTACTTGCTGCAGAAAGCTTATAAGCACCAGATACTTGTAAGTTCAATTTCTTCTTCTTTAGATGAGTAACCTCGGCTTTTAACTTCATATTATCATGAATTGTTTTTACCACATCAACCATAGTAAAATTTTTTGCTCATATCTATATGAGAAGCATTTCATGTTTGATACATTCATTTAAGTTTCTTGCTTACCTGCATACAGGCACAAACCCTGCAACCAAGAAGATGCAGCATATTTAGGAACAAAATTTTGAAATATTATAAAAAAAGATAATATGCACGAATAGAGCGAATATAGAGAAGCTTACGTGCAGTAGACCATGTCAGACAAACATGATAGCAACTGAGAAGCTTCCTGGATCTCCTCGCTTCCAACAATCATAGCCACAATTGAAAATATGCAAGCAAGTTGTTGGAGGCAGAACATGAAACCCTAGGAAGAAGGAAAAAATGTGTTTAACCAAATGGCTAATACATTTACTTAAAAACCAGTGAAAATGCGAACTAGGAGAGAGAGTTTACAATGATGCAATTATCACATTGCGTTGTTTGTATGTTGAACTCATCTTGCAACAAGAAGCGGGTTGAAGCAACTGAGTTTCCAAAGCAAAGAAAAACCTGGTAGTTTTAAATAACGATTAGCTGACCATCGCATCAGAACATTAAAACAGACTTTTTATAAAGCTGCAGTACCATCAAGGCAATTAATAACGTTATACTTGTAGCTATGAGACCTGGGAAATGCACCACAGGCACTGCTATCCAAAAGGTAACCTTACTGATATTCTAAGGAGATTGAAAATCAAAATGGCACGCACAGTGTCTCCAACATAGTACATACAGCCAACCAAAATAGGTAGATACCACAGGATATGATAAGGTTTGAAGTCCTTTCTGTGTACATTCAGAGATTATTGACAACAATTAGAAAATGCTTGCAACAGGGCGCATATCAGAGTCAAATAGAGACATGTATAAGAGAACGACAATATCTTGATTACTCAACAATCATCACTGTAGAGTTGCTTCACCCACATAAAATAGTGTTTAGCAGATGGGGTGAAGTTTTTTAGCCGTTTCATTTCACCAACTTTAATGTTAGCAAGTACAAAAATTGCCCATTAAATTGGAATTTCCTATTGACCATCTAATTCTTTTCAACCCATTTAACAGTGAATGAAAGAATCTACCCTTGCATCTGATGCTATGTTAGTTTACTATCTAACTTTAGCCATGAGAGAGAAATCTAATGACTATGCAGCAAAACATCAGATTCAACTCCTTGCTTCCAAAGAATATAAAATCATTTTAAACAAATATTGCACAGGTAAATATATAAAAGAGGAAAAAGAAAATGTATTGAAGCCTTGATTTTGACACTACAAGAGAATTTCATTTTATATTTATCTAGTAGGATAGGGAAAGTAACAATTCTCCTAAGAATATTCTAGAATATCATATAGAATATCCTACAATTTTTTCCTATCTAAATATGAATTTAGCAAAATGTTAACCTATAATTGCACTATAATTTTTATAATATAACACACCCCACAATCTCAAATAGCGGAAACCAACTTGAGTTTGCTCTTTTCAGTAAGAGAAAGTTGCTTCCAAAGTCCTGCAGGAGAAACTGCAGGATCCTAAGTTGCTTCTGGAATGGTTGTCAGAAAAAGAGAAGAGAGCACAGTTTCCTGAAGAAAACTGGAGCGGCTCCGTTCATCTGCAGAAGAGAGGGATGGTGTCGATTGTGGCTAAGGGAAGAGGGCATTATGTAGGCTGACAACCTTTCCTAGGTTGTTTCGAGGGCACCAATCACCTAAGAAATGAGAAATATGAGATGAGCCGCATCGGATGCCTAAGAAGAGATGACTAGTGCAAAACACCAGAAGAAGAGAGGAGCAGTATCGAACACCGGAAAAAGACCGGAGAGTGTCGATCACCAGAAAGATGAGCGGCACCAGAAAGAGGGGAACGCACTGGTCAGAGATAAAAGAGGACCCGCACAACTTGTCGAAGAGATGACCAGAGCCGACCATCACAACAAGCAGCTAAGCCAATCACTAGGAAAGAGGAGGAAATTGACAGCCAAGGCAGACAACGTACAACTGTCTGCTGGTAGGCTAAGGTTATGAGTCTACCAAGATCATAGAGACTCAGATACCATGTAAAGAAATTAAAGAGAGAAGAAGAGATGTATGGAGCTCCTTATATGAAGTCTTAAATCTTAATCAAGAATAACAAAGGGCATCCCAGTGCACAAAGTATCCCGCGTTCACGCAAGGTCCGAGGTAGGGCTGCATGCCAAAGGGCAATGATGTAGAAAGCCTATCCTAATGCAAACATTAATGGCTGCTTCCACGGTTCGAACCTGCGACCTATAGGTCACACGGAGACTACTTTACTGTTGCTTCAAGGCTCCCCTTCAATCAAGAATAATAAATATACTTAACAATGTTATAGCATTTTAAAATATCACTCGATATTCTCCTATTAAGATACAATGGATTTAGACCGTTTTAACATATACTTACAATAATTCTCTTGATATGTTAGCAGTAAATGCAAAAATAAAGTGAACCAACTTTCTAATTACCTCAGTTGCTAAACAAAATTCAGGACAACGACTTTCTCCACATCGACCACTGCAGGGCATATAACCCGCACAACATGTATACCTGTGACGCCACAGAAAATTTCGTTATACCAAAGCTAGCACCATCAGAAATTGATTAAAGATAAAATGCTTTACCTTGTCATATCACCATAGAGAGCCCGTTTCCGAAGCAAATATGAAGCACATGGTGCACTGTTATTTGAAATTTAGTAATGCAAGTTACATAACATACTAAAAGGACTTCTTTTTTGAAGTAACAAGAAGAAAAAAATATTACATAATAGAAGAACAAATATAGCAGGAATCCAGTTTCAAATGTTATCAAGAAATATCTTGGTATCAAAACGCAATACCACATGCATTGGGGGACATCCCTTGGAATTGATCACGAACCTAATGAGTGATCTTTTCTTTTATTAGAACTTCTCGATTACATGAATGCTAGTGTATCCAACAGCTAGATAAGTGTTACAAGACAAAATTGAAAAGCACCAGCAAAACTGGGATTAAAGCCAAATACCATCACAAAATCAGAGGAAAACATCCTTCACTATTAAATATTGCAGCAATCACTCATAAACCCTTAAAACCAAGATAGTTTCCAGTAAATCAGGTCCCTCTTTTGACAACAGCAGCAACCCCTCCCTCGCTTTCCTTACCGAATCAAATCAGAAAAATGTGGTTCCAAAGCTAGTCTACAATTTGTAAACACAAATACTAATGGTGATTAACTAACTTGCACCATCTTTTACAGTATTTCTCTTTTAACTCTCTGCATTTGATTAACAAGACAGGCATGAGCGATTGCACACATGCAACCAGGTTGCAAGCAGAGAGATAATACAGGCTACCAGCCGAGTCAGAAAATAAACATTCTTCCCTTTCTTTCCCCCGATTCAACTGCTGTATATACTTGAATCATTTGGTGCATCACTTTGCTGACATTAGGAAGAATACAACTGATATAACTTTGACGGGAGTACACAGAAACCCAATTTCTAGAGTAAGGAATGTGATAACCAGACTACCAGCTGAAAGGAATAGTACTTTCATCATCTCTCATAGTACATTCAGCCACACGTGGTATCCCTCTACTTGGATGTGTAAAGCTTTTCCTCACCTATCACGCAACTAGCCAACGATCAATTGCATTTTCTACTATTACGAATTTCATTAACCAAATTCTGCAGATGTGGTCTTTAGGGGTCGTTTTTTGAGATATAAGAATAACAATCATTGTATCAAAGCTTGCATTGTTTAATCCCTTGATTGGTCTTTAGGGGTCGTTTTTTGAGATTTAAAAATAACAATCATTCTTTTGTTTAAAAAAAAAAACTAATAAGGAAAGAGGGCCATATAGAATGAAACAGAGGGAGTACAATCAGTTTATTATAATTTGTACATATCCTGTCCGCGAACCAAACGACCCAGGATTTAATAGGAACAGGTACAACTCTAAACCAAATCCAGCTTATCTAACAGATAAACATAACTATCTAAATTGAAGTCTTCACCCCACAACTTTTTCTAAGCATCCAATCCAACTCAAGTCCAAGGAAAGGACAAGAACTAAGTCAAAGCATCACAAATCCTATCAGCAAAACACTCATTCCTTCGAAATCAACAATCAAAACATAAAATTCTCCAGCTTAACGATACACTACCAAAAAAATTCAGTCCCAAGACGAAATCACACAAATTGCAGCAAATAAAGCATAGATCAATAGATCAAATCAACAACATCAGATTTACTTTTTTAAAAAAACATACACATAAGACATACTTACCACCACAGGGAAAAACAGCAATCTGCAAACAAAAAAACATATAAGAAAAACACGTACATTAACTGGAATTAAATACAGAAAATCTGAGAGAGAAATTTACAAGGAGTGTCAGCTTGAATAGTGCGCATAAGATCAGTGTGCCAGAGATTACGATAGTTCTGGCGAACCTGCATCTTATTCAAATACTCCTGCGACGCCATATCTGCGAATACTGCTGAAGATTGAGAGAAACAGTAAAATCAGAAACCCTAAATAATAATCTACTTTGTTAATGAATGAATGGGAACAAGAGTTTTTTGCGAATGAGAACTGAGTCAATTATATTGTCGATAAAAACGAAACTGACAGGTCTTCGACCGTTGACCGAACAAAAAAGTTAGAAAACGCTAAGGAAGTTTTCTGTACCAGTTGGCAATGACGTTCGAAGTGGTTTTGAAAATTCAAACCGTGAAGACGACGTTCTCTTTCTCCCCTTTCTCTTTGCTTCCCTTTTTTTGCTTTTTTAAGTCAAAAGTAATTGGGACAAAGAACAATGGAAAAGCCGAAAAGCAAGTGGCTGAAAGTAAAGTCTGTATAGTGAAGGAAAAGGTAAAAATAAAAACAATTTCTTGTTTGTTTGTAAAAGGTGTTTTTAGAAAAGGATAATGTCATAAATAGCCAGATTTACACATGGTTATTCAAAAATAACCATAGTTTTAAAAGTAATCGAAATTTAGCCATTTTTCATATAAAGATAAATCTTAATAAAAACACTATTCAAAATCCGGAAAAATACTCCAGCATAATATATTGGCGTTCCAGTATATTATACTGGAACTCCAGTCTAATATATTGGAGTTCTAGTTATATCGGTCCAGCATAATATACTTGAGTTTGGAGCACTGGTGCTCCAGTCTCTAGTATATTATACTGGAGCCAGTGAAGATACCGGTCCAGCATAATATGCTGGAAGTTCATACACAGGTGCACCGAACTCTTGTATATTATGTTGGATTGGTCTCTATTGCAACAAAATAGTGGCTATTTTTCAATGACTTGGCAAATGCTGGCTATTTTTGAATGACCAGTCCGAAAATTAGCTAGACCGTGCTATTTTAACCATAAATCATAATACTCCTCCCCACCATCATGGGTGACTCTAAAATTGTAACTAAGAGCCTGTTTGGCCATAAAATAAATTTCTCTTTTTTTTCAAAAAAATTATTATTTTTTCGGAATCCATGTTTGGCCATAAAAATTTTAATTTTCAATTGAAGATGAATTTTAGAAGTTTTCGAAATTCCAAAATATTCCAAAAAGTTATTTTTCAAAAATTTCACTTCAAATCACTTACAAAACTCAAAAACAACTTCAAATTGTATTCATGTCCAAACACAGCTCTAATTTTCAAAGACCATTTTCATTTGAAAAACTATTTTTTCGGGAATTTCACAATTCTTATGTCCAAACGCCCACTAAGAATAGTAAAATAAGAAGTTTTAAAGTTAAGTTATTTTTAAATATAAACAAATGTCACTTTTTTCAAAGTAGAAAATATTGTAAGTTGTATTATAAATTCGAAAGTAAAGAAAAAAAAAATTTGAAGGAAAGAAAAAACTACTTTGGGCATGTCTAACAGAGAAAGAAAGATGCATCTTTATAGATTTTTATAAGAGAGAGAGAAAAAAAAAAAAAAGGCAAAGAAAGTGTTTGCCCCAAAGCAGAAGTTTGGTACCACCTATATTTCTGGTTAGTGAATTATTCATTTGATCTTAGATTAAAATGGGTCATAATGAGTAGATTGAAAGATAATTATGTAAATGAGTTCAAAATATGAGTAAGCTAGGTAAGTCAGAATTTTTAAATAATTTGTACACATATATTTGCATTGGAATTGAAATTCATATTTTAAATGGTTGTACTTTTCGTTAGATATAGCCTATAGGTATAGAATAGGCATATCCTAGTTATAAAATTTACTTTAGGTACTTTTATGAAATAAATCATTAGTTTGGAACTTTGGGTACCACTCATCAAAATTTACCCTTGTTATAAATAGAGTTTTATTTAAGGTGAATGTCTATATTTTAGAGAGATTTTAAGGATTTTACTTGGTGGTTAAGTCACGGTTTCCCTATAAATAGAGAGGTCATATACCATTGTAATTCATCTCAAAGCAATAAGAATTTGCTCTCTCTTTCTTTGCAATATTCTTCTTTATTGTTTTATTAAACGTTATCAACACAGGATTTTACCGTCTCAAGAAGCTCTTTGAGAAGATTAAGGTATAATTTTTCTCCTTTTTTTAATTATGACTGATATTATGAAAAGAAAGTTCCTTGCCCTTGAAATTTCGGGCAAGAACTATATGGCATGGGTATTGAATGCTGAAATCCATTTAGATGCAATGGGTCTTGGAGACGCCATTAAAGACAAAAATAAAGCATCTACCAAAGACTGTGCTAAGGCCTTGATTTTTTTGCGCCATCACCTTGATGAAGGGTTGAAAATAGAATATCTCGCAGTCAAAGATCCACTTGTTTTGTGGAATGGCTTAAAGGAAAGATATCGCAATTTAAAGTTGGTCACTCTTCCACAAGCATGATATGATTGGGCTTATTTGAGGCTCCAAGACTTTAAGTATGTTTCTAAATATAATTCTGCGATGTTCAAAATTACTTCTAAATTAAAACTCTGGGGAGATACTATCACTGACTATGATATGCTTGAAAAAACGTTCATAACGTTTCATGCCTCCAATATGGTCTTGCAACAGCAGTATCGAGAGAAAGATTTCAAGAAGTACTCTGAGTTGATTTCTCTTCTCCTTGTGACTGAAAGAAATAATGACTTGCTCATGAGAAATCACGATAATCGACTCACTGTGTCTACACTATTGCCTGAAGTGGATGAGGTGTATTCCCATTATGCTAAGCGTGGAAAAGGTTGTGGCTCTATTCGTGGTCGTAGTCGTGGTTATGGCCGTAGTCGTAGACAAGGAAGAAATTTTCCTGGTGTTAATCACTCCCCAAAGAAAAATAACCACTAAAAGTGAAAGGAAAAGATGAGAAGCCAAAGGCAAATGATTCAGAAAACTAAATGTTATCGTTGCGGTGGAAAAGGGCATTGGGCAAATATTTTTTGTATACCAAGACATTTGGTTAAGCTTTATCAAACAACTCTAAAGAATAAAAGCCCTGAAGCTAATCTTGTCTATGGCAATGAATTTGACATCACCCACTTGGATGTGACAGACTTCTTTGAGCACCTTAATAGGAAAATAGACCACTTGATTGGTGATGGATCTGTGGTTAAAGATAATTGAGTAGTTTGATTTTTATTTTTGCTTATTCGTAGTAACTAGTAAATAAACATCATATCACAGTTCTTTACATGAGTAATAGTCATTAGTATCAATTAGTATTAATACAAACATACACAATCATACGTGTGATGTTGGAAATTTTTTTGTCTTTTATTTATTATTTTATCGTTCTGTTTACTTCATACAGATAGACTACTTATATCATTTTGATAAGCAATTTTAGCATACACGTAGATTAAGAATATGGTATTTTATGTTGCCTGTTTATTAGTTACTAAAGTTTTTATTATCATTACAATAACTATAGTTGCACATCATATAAAATTAGTTAGTGTTAATAAGAACTATAGTCAGAACCATACGAGTCTCCATGTTACGAACACATAGAATCACTATGTAGTTTCATGAGTGTTCTAGTTAATGTGACGTACACATTATGACAAAATAACAAATAAACATGATTTGTTATTTTGTTTACCTCAAAAATACGAGTAATAATTAAATTTGATTTGTTGTTTTAAAGATATGTGATTTAATTTAATACCAATTAATAATCAAGAAATATGAAGTAGAAATGAAAGATAGAAGTGAATCAAACCAGTGTTACTCAACAGTAGTAGCCTCGAGCTTAGTGACCTCGTGATGGGCTTAGAGCAATAGGAACAATTAAGTAAGAAAAGTAAAGTAAGAGCAATAAAGCTAAAGGACAATGCTGATGAACAATAGGCAAAAAGGTAGAGAGTATATTCTTTGCTCAAAGATTAGATGATGTTACAAATGATTGGGGTCCCCTTTATATAATAGGGAAAACTCTAAATAAGGTATATTTCTATTTACAGTAAGGAATATTCTTGGTACAGCTATCTAACCGCCTAGTACGGAATCGTACAATCTTATTCCAGAATTTGCACCATGACTTTGAGGACGGGCAGGAATCTAGCTCGCTCTGGACTAAATCCATAATGGTAGTATTTCGGGGTTGAGCATTGATGATAAGCTATAATTACGTATTTTAGTCGATTATTACACTCTAATTTACTACACTTTAGTTGAGTTTGCGTTTTAATCGCTAGTGTTTTGCACTAATTGTATGTTTTATGCCTTGTAGGTGTGATTCCGAGCTATATAGATGTTATGGAATGAATTTAAGTGGTTTGGAGCTTTGAAGTTTGAGTAAGAGCTCAAGGAATTAAGCCGGGATCGCGTTCGGGGATCAACGAATGATAAAACAACAAAACGAAAACTCGAAGAGGCATATTACGCACTGTCTAGTAAAATAGACATAACTTTTTGCTCAAAACTCCATTTGGGCTCCATAATATATTGTTGGAATTATAACTTAAATAGCTACAACTTTCATGTTTTACGTTTTTCCAAATTCCAAACGGAATAGGGTGAAACACCGCGGTTACGGTAGGACCGCGACAGAACCGCGGCAGAAGGCAGTCGCGGACAAATGAAGAACCTGAGAGGTGTTTGGCCGCGGTTCTGGCGTAACCGCAGTGGAACTGCGGCAGGATGCATAAATTTCAGGGACCAAAGTGCAAAACACGGGATTTTAAGCGCTAAACCCTATATTAAACCAAGGAAGCCGGCCAAGAAAATCATTGGACATATTTTTGACATAGGTTTGACCTAAGGAGGCAGAGACGCAATAGGAGCAAGACTTGGGAATTCTTCTACAAGTTTTTTCTTTCCTCTTCCTATTTTTCATTGTTGGTTATGACTTTTAGTATTGTAGTTTTACATACTATTATGAATAGCTAATTTGTTATCTAGAGTTTTGATAGAACCTTTTGTAGGATAAATTNTTATGAGTAGATAAACTCTTTTATCTAGAGTTTGATGAAACCTCTTGGAGGATGACTTTTTATTACATTTAATATAATTTAGCCTTTGAATTTCTCTACTTGTTTAACTACGTGCTTATTTCAGTTGATTGAATGACCATCAATTGGCTGTGCCTATTTATTATGTATTTCTTAGGAAAGGGTACATATATATATGGTTGTTGAATAATGTCACTCCTAACATATGGAAGGAATCAACACAACTGGTTTAAAGGTGAGTTTAGGAATAATAAAGACATGGTGTGATCATAGTGAGTGGTAAGATAGTGTCAGCTAGCGTAGTTCGGGAGAATATGTCTAGTAAATTATTGTAGTTGCCGGGAGAGAATTACGATACTTAAAGTGCTCACGATCATTAGAGAATACTTAGCGAAATTATAGGAGATGTAGCGAG